CTCGCGCCGGCGGGGAAGGGGCTTGTCCCAAAACACAACCAGGAGCTTCTAAATTGCGTGGCCACAGTCCCGGCGGGCTCCTCAGCTGCCCTTTCTATCCTTAACAATGGCAGAAATAAAGTTGCTAATTTGAAAAGAGAATGGAAAGCGAGAATTAACTGATCGGCCGTGACGGGGGCGAGGGGAGAATGTGGTGGTGGGACAAGGGGGATGTTATGTTCCTGCCAGCCAGACAAACAGATTCCAAATACCCAAAAGAAACAAATCAGCTTTACTGGAGGAGCTGGTTCATTCCTTAAATAAAAACAGAGACCACAATCAAGCCTTTTTAGTTTAACATCCTAGGAAGGGGAAAGGGCAGATGCTCGGTAAAAGGGAGAAGTTGCGAGAACTTGTGGCCAAGGCCCAGCGCTGGCGGTCGGCTCTTCCACGTGCCCCAGCGAGGGGAGGAGAAGGGAGGGCAGATCAGCAGCAAGAGACGGTTTTCGGGAGGGCACCAGTAACGCCAGGGTGGGCACCCCGAGCGCTAGACGGTGCAGCAGACTGCAGGCCGCTGCCTCACCTCGGCGCAGGGAAGGAGCCTCTTCCAAGGAGCTTCCTCCTTGCCGAGTCTGGTGTCGGGATTCCCACGGCCACAGCCCTACGTGTTGCTCCTCTCCTTTGACTTTTCGCTTTTGCCGTCCTGCGGAAAGGGGGACGGAGGGAAGGGAGAGGGGAGGCTGCGGGTCAGGCGGCCCCGTGGCCGCAGCGGGAGCCTCCGCGCGCCCTCCGCGCCCGCGCCGGGGAAAAGGGGCTCCCCCGGGCCCCGCGCGGCCGCGTTTCCTCCACCACGAGGCATTCCAAAGGGCGCCTTTATGGGGCTATCGCGCCGCCTTTATCGCGTTCCCAGGTGGGGAAAAAACAGGGAAGCGGCTCCTCCCCGGCGGAGCCTCCGCTCCACCACGTGCCGCGTCTCGCGGCGCCGGGAACCGCGCGGCGCTTGCCCGCCCGGGCTTGCCGGGACGCGGCTTCGTTCAGCTCCCGTTCGCTACGGAAGGGATTATGAAGGGAAGCAAGCACGCACGTGGCTCCCCTGCACACACACACACACGCGCACGCAGCGCTCGGCACAGAAGTTCTCATCTCACACAGCCTCTCTATGTGTTTTTGAGCTCTATCCTGCTAAGGTCTCAGCTTTTATTCTTGCAGAAAAGTCACTACCTCCTAGCTTAGCATTGGATTTTTCTCTTATTCTTAAAAAAAACTTGTTTTGTTCTGCTTTTACCCTGATCGAAAAGAAAAAGAAAGCAAGAGTCAACTTTGGACTTACTTTTTACGTGCGTTTAGATTTAAAGTATTTAGAAACTCAAATTAACTGGAGCCCTGCTTACCACCTGCAACGAGAAGCTGAGGTTTGGGACATGTCAGAGATTAGACAGTTTAGGATTGTCTCGGAACAAGGCACTTTTGGGACGGGAGAGGGAGGCTGACGCACCGCACACACGCACCAAGGGGGTAACACACCCGCACGGACGCACGGTACAGGCGGAGGGCTCAGTACCTCGGGAGGCGGCGGCTTGATGGTCACGGGCTGGGACGTCCTCCGCGGCGGGGACGGCTTGGGCTGCACTTGCTGCTGGACCGTGTTGTAGTAGGGGACCCCTCCGTAGACCTGCGACTGCGCCTGCGACACAGGGAGCACAAGCGTCAGCGTTTTGGCACCCGCGAGGGCACCGAGCGCCCGCGGCAGCCGCGAGGAACAGCTCTCGAAGGGCACAAAGCTGGGCCCTAAAAAGACACCGCGACCTTGCGCCGGAGGCGAAGGGCCCGGGGGGGCTGGTTTGATTTCTGCTGCGCTCCCCAGGTGGAAAAGCGGAGCAGCCTGTAAAACTGGAGCGCGGCCGCCGGGACGCTCCGGAGCGCTGCCTCCTTTCCAGGGCCTTTTTCCCTGCTTTCCGCAGGGGGAGCGGCACGCGGCGATACGTGGATCTCCCATCCTGCAGCCCCAGCCAGCGCTGGTGCTTCCCAACGGCGGCAGCCGCTGCTTTTCGGAGCAAACCCGGCAGGCTGCAATCCCTCCCAGGCAGCCGGAGCCTCCGGACCCGTCTCCAATCTCCGGGTTTTCCCCGCGAGGCGGCTCCGAGGGCCCCGGGAGAGCAGGGAAGGCCCCCGGGGTTGGAGGCCGCGGGGAACGTGCACATCTCCCGCCTACCACTGCGTGTCAGCCGCGCGCCGCGGAGCCTCCGCCGCGTCCCCGGGATGCCCGCGGAGATCCCGCTCCTCTCTGCGGAGCCGCTTTTGTGCGCGCAGAGGTCGGAAGTTTAACGGGAAGCGCGGCCCGGAGGGGCTGCTCTTCACACAAAGGGTTTTCCTGGGCAGCGGGGCCGTTTCAAGCCGCTCTTGTGAACGGAAAGGAAGGGTTTCCCAAGCAGTTTTCAAGGTGTCCCTGACAGCACCGGCCTGGAGGGGACAAAGTGGTTTCACAGGGTCCCCGGGGGCTGTTTCCCTTGTTCCGCAGGGGAAAAAATTCTCAATTCTGGGATTCAGCAATACAGAGAGAGCCTCCACAAGACCCTATTCCAGGTGAAATGCAAAGCAGATACAGGAGCAGATCCTTTCCCACACAAGTGGGGACAAATGGCAGCAAACAGCCCCGTGCTACGGAATAGCCCAGGTGACCCCGGGCTCTCCCCGGAGCCCCCCAAACACCCCGTGTCCGGGCTCGGCGGCTCCGGCGCAGGGAGAAGCCGCCCGGCCTTACCTGTGTGTTGGGATAGAGGTGCGGAGGGGGCGGCGGGGGCAGCGCTCCCGGCGGGTAGGGGTAGCCAGGGTTCCCAAAATTCATGACTCCAGGAGGGGTGAAGTAAGTAGGTGCCAGGAGCTGCTGCGGAGGGGGCTGCCCCGGAGGCATGGAGACTGCGGGAGGATACAGCCCGGGGTTGGCCATGGGAGCTGCTGGCTGGTGGGGATGTAAACCTGGGAAGGACAGAAAGGAGCTGAGGGCGGCAGCGTTCACCTCTGCTTCTCAGGGGCCTGGAACATCTGCCCTATGAGGAGAGGCTGTGGGAGCTGGGCCTGTTCAGCTGGAGAAGAGAAGGCTGAGAGGGGACCTGAGCAGTGTCTAGAAGTACCTCAAGGGAGGCAGGGAGGAGGATGGGGCTGGCCTCTTTTCACTGGTGGCCACCGACAGAACTAGAGGAGACAGCCGGAAACTGAAGCATCAAAAGTTCCACAGGAACTTAAGGAAAAATTTCTTAACAGTGAGGGTGACAGAGCACTGGAACAGGCTGCCCAGAGAGGTTGTGGAGTCTCCTTCTCTGGAGATCTTCAAAACCCACTTGGATGCAGTCCTGTGCCACATGCTCTAAGTGACCCTGCGTGTGCAGGGGG